CAGGTTATGGCAAATTAATCTGCTCACTGCAGACCTTTGACAGCTGCCAAGCACCTACATGCACATCACCACCTCTCCAATTGAGTTTAGACACTCATGCAGCTCACTCACCAAGTCTTTAGATGTGCCCAGTCTCTTCAGACCATCCAGGGGCAGGAGGTCAGCAGAGTCCTTGTGTGTGAACTGGGTGGCCTGCTTCAGACGCCTCTGCTGGTGCAGGATGGCTTTATCCCGGATTGCTATCTCTCCTTTTTTCGCCTCGCTCATTGTCTCAGGCTATTAAAACCAGTTCTTTCTGATGCTGTGCACGGGAGCACGGAGACTGTAACCTCACAGCGGCAGCAGAAGAGGAGAAACCCCTCCAAAGAACATAAAGCTCTTGTCCTCTTTAAGGTCCTCAGCAGCAAAATAAACCTCTAAACGTTGCTTCTGTTGCTCTCTCTGAAATGCTGCTGTATAGTCCTGAGCATTTATTTCTCGCAGGAGCTATTGTCCTGCTCCTCTCATGTGCATCTTTCCTCACAACGTCAAGATCTGCTGAGTCTCTCACAGAGGCTGCGAGGCTGTGTGGAAGGTGTGACAGAGTCTGTGTAAGTGTTTCCTCCCCTCCCCTCAGAGCTGTCTGTCCTTGTATCGCTCTCTCTCTCTCACATATACATCTCTGCCTTCGGTAGTGCTTCTCTCTCTCTCTCCTCTCAGCCTTCCTCTTTCCCTCACCCCCAAACACTGAGCATATTTTCCCAGCTGACTCTTTGTACATCAGACCTCACCGCTCCCCTGCTAATCTGTAACCACATTCTTAACCATCACAGTAAGCATTTCTCTGCCTCGTCTAGTCTTTTAAACTGGCACAGCCACCCACACGCACAGTCTGTCACTCCTGTGTGTTGCTTCTGAGCCCGACACAGTTTGCAGCATCAGTCCCCCGCTGTGTAGGTGCAAGAGCTCGCTGTGGTCCGACCCCAAACAGGGGATCAATCTGCACCACCAATGGCAACAATTGATTTCCTTCCCGTCTGAATTAAAGAATCCATTTTCTCCTTTCCATCCATCCACACCACCAAAAGCTATAAATATGCCGTTCATCATGACCTCTACGCGATGACACATTTTTATACAGCAGTGGTGATTTGGCCTGGAGGTGTGGAGGGTTTCCTTGAAGTGTAGTATGGCTGCTCATTTATCAGTCACAGCGTTTAATGAGTGTATCCTTGCAGAGGGTGCGTGTGTGTGT